TACCGGAAGGTGATTTCACATTGCAGCAGGGGTCTGGATCTGCAGCCAAGCCACAGCTTTGGTGTTTTGTCAACTTAGGCTGAGGTCGTGATTCATCTTATTTTAGCTGGAGTGAATTGCAGATAAATGTAAACCCATTGGTCTTCTGGGAACTCCTGGGAAGTGTGACATGACTGACTGCTAATTCTGTTAAATATTTCAGTCTCAAACCCCAGTGGTGGTAGGCAATGCCCACGTAACCAAGATAGGTTCTCTGGTGTCTCATTTGTGCAAAGACAGAGGAGATGTGCCCATAAAACGTATACGCCCTGTGTCAAGAGATGCAGAGAAAAAGCTGTAACTAATACGAAGGCTACACTCAGTATGTGAACTGTTGAGAAATGGCTTGAACTTCAGTTAATGGGATTAAGCAAAGTTTTCCTTACTCAACCATGTTATTCTGAGCTATTTTTCTTCCAGACGCCTACCTGTGATGATTCCACCATCTGCAACAACCCCTGTCGGTGATGCTGCACTCTTACCAAATGTGGCTTCTCAGGAAATCTGGAGGTCACAAGTTCCAGGTTATTCTGGATCGGTCACAAGGCACATAAGTCATCGGGCCAACAACTTCAAGAGACATCCAAAGAGGAGAAAACACATCCGGCCTTCACCACCGCCACCACCAAATACTCCGTGTCCTATTGATTTGATTGACTTTGGGGATCTTCAGCCTCAGAGGTCTTTCCTAGAACTCCTCTTTAATGGGTGCATTCTCTTTGGGCTCGAGTTCAGCTATGCCATAGAAACAGCCTATGTCACCCCTGTGCTGCTTCAGATGGGGCTTCCAGACCAACTGTATGGAATGGTGTGGTTCATCAGCCCTATATTAGGTAACTTTTCGCTATTTCTTCCCTCTTGTTTTTTTCCACTACACAAGTTATATGTTCTCGTTTTCTCTACCTCAACTGTTCAGACAGTATATTCTGTGTGCTCTCAAGGTTAAGAAGCAATAGTCATTAATTTAGACAACCAAATGAAGAATAATTCTTGCTCTGTCTTGCCTGAAATGGGCCCAGAGTGATCAAAAGGTCAGTTCTTGTGGTGGCTTGTGAACCTCTTAGATTTTGTGCAAGGGTAAGCTTTGGTTACTCTGTTCCTATATTTAAAAACAAGCAAAAGAGGATCAGTGTATCCATTTATGTCCGTATGAAAAAAAGCATACAGAGACAGTTCCCTGGGATGTGTGAACAAAGCAGGGTGGTATTGCCTTCTGCTGTTCAACTCTCTGTAGCAAAGTGTTCTGGTAATGAAAGGCCATCAGCCACTGCTGTTACAGGCCTTAGCATGGAGGAAGGGGTGGGAGCATATCTATTTCTATGGGAAGAACCATAGAATGGGCTGTTGGAAACTTTGTTCTGCCTGTTCCTGCACTCATAAGAAGAGAGTAGATAGGCCCCTACTCACAGACTGGCCCAGAGTAATGCAGGCACCTTTCCAACTTGCCTGTTTGCTTCCTGCTGTCTTCCAAGCTAATTCTTCAAGTGATCACCATCTAACACAGGGTAGATGAAATAGTGTGTAAGGAACTGCCATGGCAATGAGCAGTAGCACATTATGTTCTTCAGTCCCTGACCAGGGCAGTGCCTGCGTGTGCACCTGGGTGAGTACTACTGACTGGGCATATTGCTATGCCATGGTGTCCTGCCTTTAACTGCCTTTTAAGCTACTTAGTTTAACTCCCCTGTGAAACAGGCTCATTGAAAAATGCTACTTATTGGTGATTCCTTTTTACTAGGGTTCTTGCTACAGCCTTTGCTGGGAGCCTGGAGTGACAGATGCACATCAAGATTCGGGAGGAGGCGACCTTTCATTCTGGTCTTAGCAATAGGTGCGTCTTTTAGAAACGATGGGCATAACGCTTGGAACGTAGAAACATCACACATCTCTCTTTGGGGCATCCCCTGTGGCACTAGGGTGAACAAAATGTCTTTGAAATGTTGGATATTGTGGATCTGAAGAAGGTGGTGAGTGGCACCAAGGTGGTGCTTTGGGAGCTGGAGATCCACACGTAAAACCTTCTCTTGTTAGAGTCCGAAGAGGTGATGTTTTGAGGGTCAAAGATGTTTTTCTTTAACCAAAACCAACCCTAGACATTGTTAAGCTTGAACAGTGGAAAAGGGTTATGTATATCCTATAAGCCATGCTCATTCCCCAGACTGTGGTGGTCTGAACAAGGGCAGTTGTGCTTTCTGCAAGGCCATGCAGGTAGTGTAATGCTATTAGAGCATGGAGCAGGGCAGGTTTCTTTACTTACAAGCAGTCGATTGATTTTGATTTGGTTTTGTTCCCAGGAGCGTTGCTTGGGCTCTCGCTTATGCTTAATGGCAAAGATATAGGGAGCACCTTGTCTGACACTGCGAGTAACCACAAATGGGGTATCATTCTTACGGTCTGTGGTGTTGTCCTCATGGACTTCAGCGCAGACTCAGCAGACAATCCCAGTCATGCCTACATGATGGATGTGTGCAGCCCAGTGGATCAAGACAGGGGCCTCAACATCCACGCTTTGTTAGCAGGTATGCTTTCTTGGTGCTTCCTGCGTGACGTGAGACCTAAGTAAACAAGCCCTCTGTGAGAAAGCAGAGTGTAAATCACTGGTCTTTTCCTGTATAAGCCCAATAACCAAATACCTGGAGAGGTTGTACTAATTAGTTCTGAAAACAAACTTATGCTTACTGTAAAAGGCTTTTGTAACTACCAAAAGTCAAACAAGACACAGCCTTGGGTTGTTCATCTGAAGGTCCCTCAGCATCATTTATAATACCTAGGGAAACAAAATTATCACTTGAAGGAGGAGATTCAGCTTCCTGCAGGTGTGGAAAATTCCTTTTTCAGTCGCTCTGTTGGAGGGGAAAGCACGTACTGGGCACTGTGATCCCTCACTGCTGTAATCTTCGATTGCTGTGCTGTCCTAGTCTAGTTTTCCTCACCATCAGGAGACTGTTTCACACTCGAATGTGGTTTTAAGAAAGAGAGGATAGTGTCACAGGGCTTTCTCCATCTTAATGGAGTGAGAGTGGTATCCGGTGCCCTCCGAACTTCCATGTTCATTGGTCGTAAATGCAGCGGCAGTTTTGTACGCTGTCAACATGTTGAGTAATGGGCTTGCTACGCTTCTGAAGTGATTCAGTCTGTCTTGGACACAGTTAGATCTGTGTTCCTCTAACTGAGTGAGGAAAATGGATTTTCACTTACTTTCAGGAAAACAGTCTTAGCTGACTGGTTGCAGAGCCTTGCCACGAGGCTGGTGGACACTTCTGTTTTACGGACTGAAATAGCTGAAGGTAAAGTGGTTTGTTCCTGGCAAAGAAAGAACTATGATTTTTAATTACTTGTATCATCACTTTTACAGCACTGACCTTCTCTCTCTTTCTGTACTGTGTTTGTACATCAGACTGTCCTTGTGGAGTGGATAACTGTGTTTATCGCTGCATTTGAACTGAAAAGGGGTTGAGTAGTAAACCAGAAGTAACACGATGGATTCTACTCATGAATCATTAGACAAATGGTGCTGTTACTGACATCCAGGATTGGCTAGGGAAGATAATCTTGGCTCTGTTTTTCCACCAGGTCTTGGAGGTGGCTTTGGTTATGTTGTTGGAGGAATACACTGGGATAAAACCAGTTTTGGAAAAGCTGTGGGAGGGCAACTTCGTGTCATCTATGTCTTCACCTCAGTTACACTGACTATCACTACTGTGCTGACTCTAATTAGCATTCCAGAAAGACCCTTAAGGTCCTTTGTCAGGAAGAAAAAGGTGATGAAGAGTCCAAGTCTTCCTCTCCCTCCTTCTCCACCTTTCTTCTTTGAGGAGGGTGTAAATGAAAACTTTGCTTCTCATAACTCAGCTCACTTACATGCAAGTTTTTCGAGTCCCGTTTCCCCCCTCAGCCCACTCACACCCAAATATGGCAGTTTTATCAGCAGAGACAATTCCTTGACAGGAATTAATGAGTTTGCATCATCATTTGGGACTTCAAATATTGACAGTGTGCTTATAGACTGTTTTACAGGCGGGCACAATAGTTATGTAGCACTTCCAGCCAGCCTGCCCAGGCAGCCTGTCAGCGTCAGCTTCCCTCGGGTGCCTGATGGCTGTTACCAAGGACAAAATGGAGTTCTGGAGCAAGGGGAGAGCAGCACAACACCGGGGCCTGACGGCGAGGTGCTGAGGGTGGGCTCACTGGATACCATAAAGCCACGGTCATCAGGGATCCTGAAAAGGCCTCAGACCTTGGCCATTCCAGATATCGTAACAGGACACTGTCCAGAAAATAGCAGAAGAAGAAATGTAACCTTCAGCCAACAGGTAAGGGCAGAAAATCAATGATATGACCATGTGAACCTGAGCATTCGTTTAATCTTTTCTATAGTTTTAAGTGTGTGATGCACAAATTCATCACTGCAGACTGCTCAGGGGAGTTTGCTCATGAAAGTCATGGGAACAGCACACCTGCTATGACCTTACCGGTAAAAGAGGGGATAGGATGTGAATTACGACTGGCAGTCTGTCAGCTGCCTTTGTTAAGACAGAAGAAATGAGAGCATTCTGCTCTCACTGGGCCATGTGTGAAAGTTAGGTTGGTATATTTAGCCCTGGTTCATCACCCAGGGAGCTACCACACAAGAGCAGAGAAAGACACATCTTTATTGAGCCTGTATCTTCCCTTTTCACAGAAATACCTGCAAGATAGGGCCAGGGATAGGATTCTCCCATGAGCTTCTCCTTATGGCAGTCATGCCATCTGATTCCACCAGGGAGGTGAGGTTTCCCTTGCCCAGGCCTAAGACTCTAACCTCACCTCCCACTGTTGGTGATCACTTGGAATGTCTGAGACCTCTGTATGCTGGCCCATATTTTTATGATCCAGGATGAGGTAAATTGTCCTCTGTTGGGCTTGGGGTTGGTTTTTATTGGGGGGGTGTGTGTGGCGGTTTGTTTCTTTGTTGCTATTACTGTCCTTAGACCAAGTTTGTGAGAGCAGACTTCCTTAGGGCCAGGATTTTACACACTGTGCACATAGAGATTGAGCATCAAGGTTAGCAAGCAATGTGTTTCAGTTAAAACCAGCTTCTTCCTTGGTGTCTCCAAAACTTCAGGAACCAAATTCACCTGACTGTTGGTACAGCCTTCCAGGCTGCCAAGTAGCGTAGAGAAGTGGAGAATGCTGTTTGGAGTATACTGAACGCTGTAGTGCAGTGCTGCCATTTAAGACTTGTTCCAAGGCTGAATTTACAGCTTAGCTAAATAGACTGTTCTTAATTTCCAAGCCAGTGTACTGCAGCGGCAGAGTTTAATTTTCAGATGATCAGATAGGTGTGTAATATTGCATAAGTTTGCTCAAAGGATGTTTGTGTTTTTCTTACTCTGTGTGTTGACCTGGGAGTTCTTATGGTGCAGGTTGCTAATATCTTGCTGAATGGTGTCAAGTATGAGAGCGAGCTGAATGGATCAGGCGAGACCACTGAGCAGCCACTCTCCATGAAGCTTCTTTGTTCAACCATCTGCCAGATGCCCAAGGCTCTCCGCAACCTCTGCATCAACCACTTCCTAGGTATTCAGAAAGGGCCATCTCGCTTTCACTGTCAAGTACTCTGCCTCAGGTGTATGTTTTTAAATGGTTTATTTATTGCTGCAGTGGCTGCTAACTTGAGAGGACATGATTTGTGCCATCTGCACTCACCAGTAAGGTACCTCCTGGTACTCAGTTTCGTAGAACACTGAGAAAGAAAGAAAAAACCCAAACAACAACACATCAGTAAAGCCACAGTCCTATATTTATGGGGTTTTTAGACCACTCTGAAGCTGGCACTACCAAGCAGAAAGATGAGATTATATTTCCCAGCTTACACTTCCCTCCCTTTGACAGCATGTGTATAGGGGTCCTAGAACAGGCCATGAGGGGGTGCAGGAGTGCTCGTAACCTGTGCACTGTTCCCTTTACTCTTACCAGTGTGTGACTGATGGCCTAGGAAGGGCTTGCAAGGACACATTGGACAAAAGGTAACAGGTAGTTAATACGCATTGGCTGTGACAGGAATCAAGAGGTTGCCTGCACCAGTGAATGTGACACTTGTTTGCTCTAGACACTGCAACCATGGCATAAGAAGCACTCCTTCCAGTCCTATGTGGGAGGACAACAGCAACCCGAAACGACTACACGATGAGCCACTCTGCGAAACTGAGCGTTGTCCTGTCAAAACCTGAAGGCAGCTCAGGCTGCTGTCATCTGTTTTTCTGTCTTGCTAAACCAGTATTCTGTGGCCTGCAGTCAGCCTCTAGGATTCTGCTTAGGAATTCAAAGGATAAACTTTGGTCTTTAAAATCCTGGTTGTCTGACAAACATTGTAGCATAATACATGGGGAAGAGCAGTCTCAGATAAATGTGGTTGAACCTTACGTAATACTTGCATTGCACAACCTGTCTTCAGTTGTGATTTGTAATATACCTAATAGCATCCATGTGAGCTTACAAGGGGAAACAGACACTCTGCAGTTCTAATAGGTTACTTCTGGCTTCTTTCAGGATGGCTTTCATTTGAGGGGATGTTACTCTTCTACACTGACTTCATGGGAGAAGTAGTGTTTCAAGGGAATCCGAAAGCACCTCACAACTCAGATGAGTATCAGAAGTACAACGCTGGGGTCACCATGGGCTGCTGGGGAATGTGCATCTATGCATTCAGTGCTGCTTTCTATTCAGGTACTTGGTACAGCCACCTTAGCCACTGCTGTGAGAAGGGTGCACCCACTCCTTAAGTGGTGTTTCTGCAACAAGTAGTCTGGCATTTATGTTGCACATAGCCTATCCTATGGCATGAGTGCTGAAGCAGACTGTTCTTGTTCACTGTATATCTCAGCTAGTTAGCTTGGCCTGCGATGACAGCAGATGGGGTCAGCAGTCCAGTGAAGACCCATCTGTTAGTGTATAGTTCCTTTCACACGTGGCATTTTAAATGTACACTGAATCCAGGAATACATGCAGCCACCATAGGCACAGTTCTGGCACAGCAGCACTCGGTGCCCGTGTGCCCCTGGCAGAGCACCCCAGTGTCATGCACCACTGGAGGACCTTGTTGTGTGTGTAGTGCATCTGCCCGCCCTGCCCCCTGCCTTGGGAGGGGATTCCCATTTACTCCTCTGGGACAGAGACACTGCCAGGCTCCAGCTCTGCCATGTCCTCCACACAGCTAGGGCAGCAAGGCTGCATCATTGCAGTGGGGTCTGGACAGGGTCCTTGGTGCTCACATGCAAGCCACCAGTTACTCAAAGACATAACAGGTCCTGCTGAGACATGGCTACTTAACAGCTGTGCTGTGGGGCCCAAAGGTGCACCCTTTGTGTCCACTGACAGGCTAGTGGCAGGGAGGGCTGCAGTTCACCCCAAATGCCATGCTGTTGTCTTGCAGCCGCGCTGGAGAAGCTGGAAAAAAAGACTCTTTGCTTTGTGGCATATTTGTCCTTCGGGCTCGGCACGGGTCTGGCCACGCTCTCCAGAAACGTCTATGTGGTGCTGTCACTGTGTGCTACCTACGGCATCCTCTTTGCCACGCTCTGCACGCTGCCCTACTCCCTGCTCTGCGACTACTACCAGAGCCATGAGGTGAGCCCTGGGCCAGGGAGGGGAGAGGGGCTCTTGCAGCACCGCCAGCCCCCTTATAGTGTGTCCCTCACAGTTTGTAGGCTCGCAGGCGGAGGGCACACGGCGCGGGATGGGCGTTGACATCTCCCTGCTGAGCTGCCAGTACTTCCTGGCGCAGATCCTCGTGGCCCTGGCCATGGGACCACTGACAGCAGCTGTGGGCAGCGCCAGCGGCGCCATGTATTTCGCCAGCCTGATGTCCTTCCTAGGCTGTCTCTTCTCCTCCCTCTGTGTCACCTATGAGCTGCCGCCTACCGAGGAGCTGCCTCCCGCTGAAGAGCAGCGCCCGCTCTTGCCCCGCGCGCGGAACGAATAAATGGGAGAAGCCGCCACAGCCTCTGCTGCCTCTTTGTGTCACCCTCAGCCTCCCCACCGGGGCGTGTGAGGCTCCCGTGCCCCCAGGCCGGCAGCAGTGGGCATGGCAAACAGCAAGAAGGCGTGTGCTGGCTTCGCCAAGCTTTCCCATGCTCGCGGGAGGGCGAAGGGCAAGTCGGCAGCACGTGGCACCGCTCGTCCTTCCCTTGAGGTGGCAAAGGCCTGTCTGTGCCCCTGCTCCCTCCAGCTGTGCCATGGTGCCATCATTCCAGGGGGACAAGTGGTGGTGTCCAGCGTGAGGGAGGGGATCTGGAGGTTGGTGCCCGGGCAGGGTGACCACGATGTCTCAGGCGGCAGCAAGCTGCAGGGCTGCACGTGCCACTGAGGGCACCGCCACTGCAGGAGGCTGGGGCCACGGTGCTCTGCCAGCTTCATGGGCAGAAGGTGCCATCACAGAGCCAGGCAGAGCAGCCCCGTCCTCGGTCACTGAGGGCAGCAGTGGCTCCATGAGGCCTTAGGGAGCACTGCGGCCAACCTGGCCTCTGCCCGTGGTAGGCCTGGCTCTGGAAGATGCTTTTCATAACTTCGGAAAGGCTGAGAGTGACTGGTCCTGCACGGGTGGTGTGAGCACTTTGCCACTTGCTCCTGAGTGTGCAGAGCTCGCACCAGCACAACTGCTCCAAGAAGCTGCTGTGGGGTGAAACTTCAGCAGCCCGACTCCCAAACCCTGCTCAGTAAGTTCTGGCTGTGGCCCATGGTGATGGTTGTGTATTTCCTTCCACTTCAGACTTTTAAGTAAGACTACAAGGGCTTGTGATGACTTAGCAGGAAGACGGGCAGTTGTTTGTAACCCAGTTTTGGGGAGAAGAGTTTTTGCCTCAATTTTCCTTGGGTAGAAGCTTACTCTCAAAGTTAAGTAAGCTAATTTAAGAAAAACCATCTCTGAAAGCCTGCAAAACACCATCCTTGTTTTTTCATACAGTTGTACCTTGTGGCATTCTGAAATCTGCATGGGGATCAGTGAGCTTGTCAGCTAGAGCTGCATCTTCTGTATCTCACTGAAACGAGTAAAATGGCTTTGGGTGCCAGTATCTGTGAAAGTTCTTAATTATTCTGATTTTGGTGGTAAACGTGTGAGATCTCTTACCAGTTAAGCCCAAGAGTCTGTTAAGTCTTGAGAGCAAAGGCGAAAATGGAAATAAAACTATTTTTAGGGTCCCAGTCAGCCTGCCTCTCTATTTGGGTAGGCAGCCAAAGGTTACCAAGGCTCATGGGCATTTTGGTACTACATGTGCTGTGCATGGCATCCCTGTAGAGGTTATTTTAGGTCCAGAAGAGGGTTTTCTCTGGAGTTCTACTTGACTGTTCACCCAAGTTCATTCTGATGCTTGATCGATGATGCTAAAATGAAATAACTTGTATAATCTGTAGCTGTTGGGGCTTACTACACTCCAGTGCTGAAAGCATAATGCACAACTCCTAAGAACCTCTTGATGCCCCTGAGCATTAGTTTTCTTGTTTTAGAAGCAAGTTTCATGCTACTCAGTATTTACTTAAATGGAGGAACACCACTGAAGTTACAAAGTCAAGAACTCGGAGGTAAAGGATGGTCAGATTGATGAGTCTGTTCATCTTCCTTCTTTCTTTCTTTGGGCTTACGTAGTGTCATAACTGCAGGAATATCTGTGACGTGCCATTTCCTTGATTATGGGACAGCTGTATCCAAGACTGTTCAGGATGAGGCTGGAATAAAATAAGAAACTGCACATTTGGCACTTCTGATTTCTGACAATCTAAAGACTTGACTTTGGAAAATTGCTTTCTTGTTGCTGTGCCCTGTAACCTTAATTTCTCTTCCTTATCTTACTGAACTTTTAAACTAAAAAAGGTGTGGGTTTTTTTCTTTTGGTCCAGTGCTAAAATGTGTTCTCTTTAAGTTTTGTAGCCAGCATTGTTGCACTAAATGGATCATGAGCACTTTCTTCTTCCAGGCCACTCAAGGTGCAGATCATTGTATTGCAAGCAAGGATCTTCAAAAGATTGAGAATTGATGAAATCAGTGTATTTGATGGTAACGTTTGTCTTTGCTTCCATCTGTAAATAATACTATGAAATACTTTTATATAGTGATAAAACTATTGCTCTGCCCATATGCATTGCCCAGGAGAATATACATTACATTTTCTATTTTATGTGATAGAGACTTCATTTTGCATATGTATTTATGGAGTGTTTATGTACATACTACTTTTAGGTCAACATCAGTGTATGCTAATTTGGGCAATACTGGTGATGCCTGGGAAAAAATCCAGAGCCTGCCACCATCGTGCAGATGTGGAAGTGGTACCAAATCCATAGAACTGACTTTAATAAGAGGCACTGCTTATTGACTTGATTATTTTCTTCCTTTTAATACTTTGTGTTTTACAGACATGACTGTGTGCGGTCACTGCTGAGCTCTGAGTGCAAAGTGATGTTTGCCTTTGGGAATGTAAATGCTTCAAATGCTCTGTCTAAATCTGTGAGCTGCTGTTTGAGAAGTAAGATGCGTGAGTTTAGGCAGGAGAGTGATTTTATGCTGTGCTGTAGTTGAACCTCTTCAGCGGTGCCTAAAGGTTAATTTTGATGAAGTCCTTATCATTAAAGGTTGCTTGATGGCAATTATTTGTGGATGTTTATACATGGATTTAGAGCACATGTACAGAAGTAGGGGAAACAGGGAGAGGAACAGAGAAAGCACGTAATAATTGTCTCATGTTTGTAATGAAGCAGCATGTGTCTGCAGTTCACTTGGCCTCTGCTCTCAGAAAAGACAACCTTATGATGTTGGAACTTCTGCTCTATTTTTGAACGAAGAAAATGAGTCTTTTCAAGAACCAAATCAATTTGCATGACTGTATATATATATAAAAAGAAAAACTATATTGGGAACTAGTTGAAGAGAGTCGTCTAGACAGTTTATTTCCTACGAAGGAGTAGTCACTCATCTTGTACTCCACAGGAGATGCACTTTATTTACTGAAAAAAGAACTTGTCTTCTGGTAAAAGGTGGCTTTCTTCAATGTCTCTTGTCCATCCCTCAGACTGGAAGACAGGGATAGACATTTAGATGCCATTAACATAACACCCAATGGGTTCTGTTAAGTACAATAAACATCTTGTGAATTCAGTGAGTTCTGGAGCACCTGCCCTCTCCCTGTGCAGAGATGGTGAACGTGTGGGATAAGCAGTGTTTTTGGTGAGTGCAGCTTGGCTAACTCCAGTGTCTTCTGTGAGATCTGACAGGCAACAGCACAGTCCAGTGCTCCAGAGGCAGGAAGAAAGGCAATGAGTAATGTTCATCTGGTGAATTCAAGTGCAGCATACGCAGGGAGCAGCAGTCTACAGACAGAGAAGCCTGCAATGGGGATGATGCAGTATTCGCCTTGTACGTAAGCTCTTGCTTGTTTGTTTTGCCATTTCTAGGATCCAGCAATACCTTTCTTGAACAGAGAATAACAAATTTTGTTGCAATAGCCATGGACTGGTCAACAGGGGAAATCACAGCATCAGAGCAGCAACGAGGGGTTCTGGATTCCAGTGCTAACTCAGCTTGTGAGAACTACTTAAGAAGTGAGGAATTTAACAGTATTGCTGTCAACTGCTCTGAAGAATTACTGCACTAGAGGCTCAGTTTTCATCTGCAGCTTTCTTCAAGCCCAGCATCAGCCCAGTGATGCTCCTCATGTGGTAACTCTGCTCTGCTTCTGGCTTATGCTCACTTCTTGTGTGCAGTTGTTGGGGTTTTTTAGCCCACACATCTTCTGGGGAACAGGGGAAGGTGACAATAGAGCTGAGTAAGTTCAATAGCTTCTTCCTACCAGGAAAGTTAAGTTCTTGCTCCTTTTGCACTAGCCCTTGCTCTAGGGAAAGTGTTTAGGTCAGTGTCTACAGTAACACATGCACCCTTGAACCTGGCAGGAGATTTAATAGGCAGGAAAAAGGATGAGAGGACCCACTGTGGAAAGCACGACCTCAGCACCAGCCCTCTCCTCTTGGTACTTCATTTATCTGGTATTATTACTGTGTCTGATGCTAATAGTCACTCACCCCCACAGCACTTCAGGATTCAAAAGGACATGAAAGCAACTCCTTTACTGCCTTGTGTACGATTCTGAGATGCTTTATTTAATAACAAATTAATTCTTTTCCTTTTTTTTAACAGGAAGAAAAGCCAGGCCTCTGAAACTGTCACAAAAGAAACCTTGCACATCTACCTTCTTGTGCTGGAAGCAGAAAGCTCCAGAAAAGGAAAGCTGTGTGGTACCTTTAGATTATAATAGGAAGAACAGTGCAGATGCAAACTTTACCTTTGAAGAAAGGAAATCCAGAGTAAACTAGAGAGGAGCTTCCTAGAACCCCTGTACCAGAGCATATAGTCACGGTTTTGCATAAAATGTGATTCTTAACATCAACTATATGGAAAGAGGGGAGAGAAGGGGAGAGTATTAGAAAAGCAATACCACCTTTCACAGCCTCACCCACTTTAAAGAACAGTTATTAAATGATCTTATATTTCACCCATAAGCAGAAATAAAGCCATTCTCAGAACTGCGATGTTGTTAAAAGCAAGCAAGCCCCTTTCTCTGGAGTGTTTTGTCTACTCTGCCTCTATCAGGGCAGTTACCCCACAAACCTCATTGGGATGCAAAACTGAAAACTTGTCTTTGCCTGACCTTTGTAGTCGTGTAAGTGACACCAGAAGAAACCCAAAAAAAGCAAGATGTGCAGCTAAGGTGGGAGGGACTACGGTGACTTTCTTCTTTCTCAGGCAGGATCAAATATGTGATGCAAATAGTAAGACTTGCATCTTGCTTCACGCAAACCTTGCTCCCTCTATACCAAGTTGGAAATCTTTCCTTTTTGCTCGTAAATGAACAAACAGGCCCAGAAATTCTCTGGAGAAACTAAAGAATCGCAGCTACAGTCCTGTTTGCATCTGTTTGTGTCAGGCCTCCCCTGGACCACTGGA